GTCTTAACATGCATAGAGGTGGATAAATCCCTGGGACCTGATCACATGTACCCTAGAATTCTGTGTGAAGCTAGGGAAGTCCTTGCTGGGCCCTTTGCTGAGATATCTGTATCATCGATAGCCACAGGTAAGGTGCCAGAAGACTGGAGGTTGGCTGACATGGTGCCATTATTTAAGAAAGGTGATAAGGAAAAGCCAGGGAACCATAGACCGGTGAGCCTAACAGCAGTGATGGGAAAGTTGTTGGAGGGAATCCTGAGGGACAGGATTTACATGTATTTGGAAAGGCAAAGACTAACTAGGGATCGTCCACGAGGCTTGGTGTGTGGGAAATCGTGTCTCATGAATTTGATTGAGTTTTTTTGAAGAAGTAACGAAGAGGATTGATGAGGGCAGAGCAGTGGGCATGATCTATATGGACATCAGTAAGGCTTTTGACAAGGTTCCTCTTGATAGGGGCGGCATGGTGGCTCAGTAGTTAGCACTGCTGCCTCATAGCACCAAGGCCCAGGTTCAATTCCAGCCTCGGGCAACTGTCTATGTGGAGAGTACACATTCTCTCTGTGTCTGAGTGGGTTCCCTCCAGGTACTCTGGTTTCCTCCCACAGTCCAAAGATTTGCATGTTAGGTGGATTGGCAAAGCTAAATTGCCCATTGTTTCCTGGGATGTGTAGGGTAAGAGGATTTTCCATGGGAAATACAGGCTTACAGGGATCGGTCAGTGAATCTGGGCGGAATGCTCTTCGAAGAATTGTTGTGGACTTATTGGGCTGAATGGCCTCTTTCCATACTAGTAGGGATTCTACAATAGACTGGTTAGCAAGGTTAGATTACATGCAATACAGGGAGAAACTAGCCACTTGGATACTGAACTGGCTCAAAACTAGAAGACAGAGCATAGTGGTGGAGGGTTATGTTTCAGACTGGAAACCAGTGACAAGCGGTGTGCTACAAGGATGGGTGCTGAGTCCACTGCTTTTCTTCATTTATATAAATTATTTCAATGTGAATACAGGAGGTATGGTTAGTAAGTTTGCAAATGACACCAAAATTGGAGGTGTACTGGATAGCAAAAAAAGTTACCTCAGAGATCAGATGGGCTAATGGGCCGAGGACAGGCAGATGGAGTTTAATTTAGATAAGTGCTTCTTGGAAAGGCAAATCAGGGCAGGGCTCATACACTTAATGGTAAGGTCCTGGGGAAGTGTTGCTGAACAAAGATGCCTTGGACTGCAAGTGACAGTGAGAGTAGGAGGCGCTTGGTATGCTTGCCTTTACTGGTCAATGTGTTGAATATAGGAGTTGGGAGGTCATGCTGCAGCTGTACAGGATATTGGTTAGGCCAGTTTTGGAATACTGCATGCAATTCTGGTTGCCCTGTTATAGGAAGAATGTTGTGAAACTTTTAAGGGTTCAGAAAAGATTTGCAAGGATGTTGCCAGGGTTGGAGAGTTTGAGCGATAGGGAGAGGCTGGGGCTATTTTATCTGGAGTGTCGGAGGCTGACAGGGTGACCTTACAGATGTTTATAAAATTATGAGGGGCATTGATAGGGTGAATAGCCAAGGTCTTTTCCCCAGGGTGGGGAGTCCAAAACTAGAAGGCTTAAGGTGAGAGAATTTGAGTGCCAGAATTTGAGAAATGCAATATATAATCATTGAGAAAGTGGAGGAGGGCACAGTGAAACAGGGAGTGGAAAACTAGCATGAGAATTTTTTAATCAAGTCAATGGAGGTCAGCCAACAGAGCGATAATGGTTCAACAGAACTTGTATTACCAAGTTTACAGAGAACAGAACATGGGAAGTTGGCCAGGAGTGCACTGAAATAGTCAAATCTAGGGGTAACAAGGCAGGAATTACAGTTCTGCAGTGAACAAGATGAAGCAGGGGCAGAGTTGACAATAGTACTAAGGTGAGAATAAGCAGGTTTAGTGATAGCATGGATACGCAGTTGCAAGCATATCACTGGAAAAGTATGACATCAGGTTTGTGAATGTTCTGGTTCAATTTCAGACAGTTGCAAGGGAGAGGAATGGAATTGGCAGCTAGGGAAAGGAGTTTGAGAAGGGAATTGAAAAAAGTGGCTCTAGATTTCCCAATATTAAGTTTAAGAAAACTCCTTAAGGCAAGGAAAGGATGGTAAGGTGAAGGAACCTTGGATGACAAGTCATGTGGAACACCTAGTCAAGAGGAAGAAGGAGCCTTACTTAAGGTTGAGGAAGCAAGGATCGGATAGGGCTCTAGGGGTCTACAAGGTAGCCAGGAAGGAACTGAAAAATGGACTTAGGAGAGCTAGAAGGGGGTATGAGAAAGCCTTGGTGGGTACGATCAAGGAAAACCCCAAGGCGTTCTATGCTTACGTGCGGAACAAGAGCCAGAGTGAGGGTACGGCCAATCAGGGATACTGGCGGAAACTTGTGCGCGAAGCCAGAGGAGGTAGGGGAGGTCCTTAATGAATACTTTGCTTCAGTATTCACCAGTGAGAGGGACCTTGACGTTTGTGAGGACAGCATGAAACAAGCAGATATGCTCGAAAAGGTTGATGTTAGGAAGGAGGATGTGCTAGAAATTTTGAAAAACATGAGGATAGATAAGTCCCCGGGCCAGAGGGGATATACCCAAGGTTACAACGGGAAGTGAGGGAAGAGACTACTGCCCCTTTGGCAATGATCTTTGCGTCCTCAATGTCCACTGGAGTAGTACCAGATGATTGGAGGGTGGCAAATGTCATTCCCTTGTTCAAGAAAGGGAAAAGGGATAATCCTGGGAATTACAGACTGGTCAGTCTTACTTCTGTGGTGGGCAAACTATTGGAGAGGATTCTGAGAGATAGTATTTATGATTATTTGGAAAAGCACAGTTTGATTAGAAATAATCAGCATGGCTTTGAGAGTGGCAGGTCATGCCTCACAAGCCTTATTGAATTCTTTGAGGATGTGACAAAACACATTGATGAAGGCAGAGCAGTGGATGTGGTGTATATGGATTTTAGCAAGGCATTTAATAAGGTTCCATATGGTAGGCTCATTCAAAAAGTAAGGAGGCATGGGATTCAGGGAAACTTGGATACAAAACTGGCTGTCCAATAGAAGCCAGAGGGTGGTAGCAGATGGAAAGTATTTGGCCTGGAGCTCAGTGACCAGTGGTGTTCCGCAGGGATCTGTTCTGGGACCTCTGTTCTTTGCGATCTTTATAAATGACTTGGATGAAGGAGTGGAAGGGTGGGTTACTAAGTTTGCCGATGACACAAAGGTTGGTGGAGTTGTGGACGGGGTGGAGGGCTGTTGTAGGTTGCAACGGGACATTGACAGGATGCAGAGCTGGGCAAAGAAGTGGCAGATGGAATTCAACCTGGAAAAGTGTGAAGTGATTCATTTTGGAAGATCGAATTTGAATGCAGAATACAGGTTAATGGCAGGATTCTCGGCAGTGTGGAGGAACAGAGGGATCTTGGGTCCACGTCTGTAGATCCCTCAAAGTTGCTACCCAAGTTGATAGGGCTGTAAAGAAGGCGTATGGTGTGTTGGCCTTCATTGGCAGGGGAATTGAGTTTAAGAGCCGTGAGTTTATTCTGCAGCTCTATAAAACTCTGGTTAGACCACACTTGGAATATTGTGTTCAGTTCTGGTCACCCCTTTAATCGGAAAGAGAGGATGCCAAGGAGATTTACCAGGATGCTGCCTGGACTGGAGGGCAGGTCTTATGAGGAAAGGTTGAGGGAGCTAGGGCTTTTTTCATTGGAGCGAAGAAGGATGAGAGGCGACTTGATAGAGGTGTACAAGATGATGAGAGGCATAGACAGAGTGGATAGTCAGAGACTTTTTCCCAGGGTGGAACTGACTATTACGAGGGGGCATAATTTTAAGATGATTGGAGGAAGGTATAGGGGAGATGTCAGAGGTAGGTTCTTTACACAGAGAGTGGTGGCTGTTTGGAATGCACTGCTGGAAGTGGCAGTGGAGTCAGATACTTTAGAGACTTTTAAGCGACTCTTGGATAGGCACATGGAGGATAGTAAAATGTAGGGTATGCAGGGTAGTTTGATCTTAGTAGGATAATAGGTCGGCACAACATCGTGGGCCGAAGGGCCTGTACTGTGCTGTACTGTTCTATGTTCTATGTTCCTGCTCATCCGGTACTCAACGTCGAGCAGTCTGCCAATTTATCGACAATGGAGGGAGTACAGAGAGGTGGTGTTGAGGTGGAGCTAGTTGTCATTCATGTTCTCGCAGAAAATGACAGTGCTTTTAAATGTTATCACAGATTAGGGTGGCCATTCACCTGGCTTTATGAAGACAGTCCAGTTTTTGAGGTGATCTCTGTCCAGTACTGGTTACCTTTATATTTGGCATTTGTAATTCTATCAAGAGAGCAACATATGGAACGACAAAGCGTGGCCATGTGCACAGTACCTGTTATTTAGAAAATGCAGCATCACATTCATTCTAACAATGTAGACAGAGGTTTGTCCAAAAGGTCATATCCCTTATAATTAAAGACCTTTTAAATCAAGACTGAAAAAGTACATTTATGGTTCCAATTAAGACAATTGTTTCAGGGAATGTTGCATATTTAAGTTGAATATTTTTGTGATTTATTTTAAAAATTAAAAAGATATAAGTCTTTTTAAAACACAAGTTCAAGTTACAGGCTTGCATTTGTAAATCATACAATGATTTTAGTTTGCTTGAACATTACTCTTAAGTAACACCGTTTTTATTAAGTTGTTGCCAGCCATAAACCAATTCCTGAAAGTGCAAAAATAATTTTAAAATTACATTTGGCTGGCGTTATTGTAATTTATTTCACGTGTTTATGTGGAGTTTGGCAGGTGACTATTTAATGTTCATTGTATGAAGTCAGTCGTTGCCCCAGCAAATGAACAGGATGTAAATCAGGTGGAGCCAAGGGGATATTCTTCAGTAATACCAGAGGTAAATAAATGTTTGTTAATCCTATATCTATATAATACCTATACTATACCTAATACTGAACTGTACCTTTTCCTTTGTGTTTTTTCTGTTTTTGTTCACTCAATTTATCTAAAGGAAGATCATGTAAGTCAAGGTTGTACAAATGCCGGGCGAGCACTTTGGTCAAGGTTTCCATCGTCATTGCCCATTCAGTAATTAGCTCTTCCCAGCATGTAAGTGATGACAACACCATCAACAATTCATCCCACAGCTCTCGGGAGACATATACGTCCAAGTTTGCTTTGATCCAGGCTACTATTAGTGTCTATAAACAGCAAGAGACAAAAAATGCTTAGAAAGTGAGCAAATTATGCAGATCCAAACTGTCAAATACTTTTTGTAGCTTTCTTTTAAAGAAAATAAACAGTTATTGCATGCAACTTGCACAATGAGTTGTCTTAAATTCTTAACTGTTGTTCATCTCATTTCCACATTACAATGGACTAAAACATACAAGAAAACACAGATGTACATTAAAATGAATCCCTGTGGCATGCTTCATGTTTATCTAATGTATTTTCTAGAATTATATTCAAGTGGTATTGAATGGGATACCATATAGTACAAGTAGCCAAACACTACAATACCACTGTGAAAAGGATAAGTGGAAACTGAGCAAATTTCTATAACAATGAAAAATAAGACAAGCTACACTAGCATCCTTGGTGGTACTAAGTAAAATTACCAGAGTTACAGGAATCAGTTCATTGATTTGCTTCAAAAAAAAGCAAAAAAGTGTGCAGAAACAGTAAAATATGAAGAAAATGAACAGAAAGAGATTGGTTTACTGCCAATTCTAAAGACAGAATTAAGACAAAATAAGAAAAGAGTAAAAGGAAATAAGCCTGGGAAGAACAATGGAAAAAAAATGCAGGACACAATTTCCCTCCTAATTTGCATAATTAAGTTTCAACAGCTGCTAATCTTCTCACACTTTAGTGATGCATTAGAATTCAAAGCTTCTTCCTCGGAAGAATTTTCATTAATTATATTGAAGCATCTTTTCCCAAGTAGTCTCGGATAATAGTGAACTTGAGGCTATAAAAAGAGATCAGCCATTGTCGTAGTAAATAGTGGAGTAAGCTTGAGTGGTTTAAGTGCCTACTCCTGCTTTTAATTCTTAAGTTCATGTAATCTTTTGTGAAGTGGACAGGAAAGAAGGTTACCTCAGAGTCAATGGGCCAAGGAGTGGCAGATGGAGTTTAATTTAAATAAATATGAGGTGCTGCATTTTGGAAATGTAAATCAGGGCAGGACTTATACACTTAATGGCAAGGCCCTGGGGAGTGTTGCTGAACAAAGAGACCTTAGAGTGCAGGTTCATAGTTCCTCGAAAGTGGACTTCCAGGTAGATAGGATAATGAAGGCAATGTTTGGTATGTTTGCCTTTATTGGTCATACATTGAGTATAGGAGTTGGGAGGTCATGTTGTGGCTGTACAGGACATTGGCTAGGCCACTTTCAGAATATTGCATGCAATTCTGGTCTCCTTTCTATAGCAAAGATGTTATGAAACTTGAAAGGGTTGAGAAAAAATTTACAAGTATTTTGCCAAGTTTGGAGGGTTTGTGCAATAGGGAGAGGCTGAATAGGCTGGGGCTACTTTCCCTGGAGTGTCAGAGGCTGAGGGGTGACGTTATATAGGTTTATAAAATTATGAGGGGCATAGATAGGGTGAATAGCCAACGTTTTTTTCCCCAGGGTGGAGGAGTCCAAAACTAGAGGGCATAGGTTTAAGGTAAGAAGGAAAAGATTTTAAAAGGTACCTAAGGGGCAATTTTTTCATGCAGAGGGTGGTATGGAATGAGTTGCCAGAGGAAGTGGTGGAGGCTGGTACAATTACAACATTTAAAAGGAATCTGGATGGGTACATGAATAGGAAGGGTTTAGAGGGATATGGGACAAATGCTGGCAAATGGTACTAGATTCATTTAGGATATCTGGTCGGCATGGACAAATTGATCTGAAGGGTCTGTTTCCAAACTTGCACAGCTCTATGACTCCATAAGAAAGAAATTCTCTATATTCTTTGAACCTTTCCTAAGAGTATACATGGGAAGCAATTTTCTTTACAATCCTGTTTTTGAAAGGGTAATAAAAGCTAATATCCCATTGTACCTTCTACTTCCTCCGCAAAAATCCCTCAGTACATCTTACATCTTCAAAAAAGTACATGCAACATCTTAATTTTCTCGGACACCAAGGCAATCAAGAGATGTGGGGTCAGAGTAGAAAATAGATGGGGGAGTAGCATTGAGGTAGATGATCAGCTATGATCTTAGTGCATAGCAAATCAGGTTCATAGGACTATCTGACTTATACAGATGCTATTTTGGACATTCTAAAATGTAGACAATACAGCCCAATGAGCCTGCTCCACCATTCAATATGATGTTGGCTGATCTTATGTTACAATTCCACTTTCTGGCTCACTCCCTGTATCTCTCAATTCCTACGAGTCCAAACTCTGTCTGTCTTAGTCGCAAGTATATTCAATGATAATACATTCATTAGTCTCTGGTACAAAATTCCACAATTCTTTGAGTGATGAAATTTCTCCTGATCTCAGTCCTAAATGATTAGCCACTATACTCAAATTACAGATTCTTGTTCTACATTGTTCAGCCAAAGGAAACCTCTACCTTGTCTCGCCCCTTCAGAATCTTGTATGTTTCAATGTAATGATCGCTTACTCTTTCAAACTCAGAAGAACTTCAAAAGGACATTGAGGAGTTGGAGGAGTGAGCAGATATGTGGCAGGTTAACTTCAATGCTACAAAGAAAATGGACAGGCAGTATAAACTAAAGGGTACTATTCTAAAGGGTGAGCAGCAGCAGAGGGATATGGGTTTATAAGAGCATAAATTGTTAAAGGTGACCAGACAGGTAGGATAGTTGTTAATAAAACATACAGTTTTCTACACTTCATTGGTAGGGGCATGGAGTAACAGAGCAGGGAGGCTTTGTTGGACCTGTATATGACGACATCAGTTAAATCTCAGCACTGGGAAGAATGTGAACACATTAAAAGAGTGCAGAAGAGGTTTACATAAATGGTAAGAGATAACAAGGTGTACAGCTGGATGAACACAGCAGGCCAAGCAGCATCAGAGGAGCAGGAAGGCTGACGTTTCGGGCCTAGACACTTCTTCAGAAATGGGGGAGGGGAAGCGGGTTCTGAAATAAATAGGGAGAGAGTGGGAGGCGGATAGAAGATGGATAGAGGAGAAGATAGGTGGATAGGAGAGAGACCGGTCAAAGAGGCGGGAATGGAGCCAGTAAAGGTGAGTGTAGA